GTTTCGATTCGTTTTGCTTCGTATGGGCGGCCCGGTGTGCAGTTTGGCAAGCAATGAGCGGTGCTGTTTTGGATAGGCGCAATAAATTTTCGAGAACTTATGTATATATATGGTCGTAATTGTCTGATATCTCGTATGCATGACATATTATCAAACTCCACCTTATCACCAGCAGATTTCGTTGCAGAATGCATCGTTGATTTCGGAGTGTTTATACTCCAGAGATCTCATATGCACATCCTTGTGTCCCTGTATAACCTGAAGGAGAAAATTTTGTACAGTGCAGTAAACTGTGATTGAGCATTATTACCAATTTTTTCAGGTGATTTCAAATCTGGACGAGCTTGTAAATCTTGAATACCTGGATATGAGTTACAACCGCATCAAGAAAATTGAAGGTCTTTCTGGTTTGGTGAATTTACGACGACTTTACTTAGTGCACAATAAAATTGATGAAATTGCTGGTTTGGAATCGCTGACGAAGCTCGAACTGCTTGAGCTTGGTGATAATCGAATTAAGGCAAGCATTCAGTTCTGTTTTTCAATCCGCTTCCATCTGGCTATCCAAGGACAAAGCTGTTGCAGCTTTCCCTTCGTACTTTGTCGATTAGCTGAATTTTGATCTCAGGGATGGTCTGGATTCTTTGGACGTCTTGTTGGTATGTTAGGAATAATGAGAGTACTGATAGATTACGCAGTCTGTTTACTCTGGTCGCTGTTTGTTATTGTCCTCACTTCAGGCACTGCGTAATTGGCCTCACTACTCATAATTGGCCTGGTAGTTACGTGATTTTTTATTAATTCGCTAGGTTGATAGTGAATTACTCCCCGGAAAAAAATTGTCGGCGTCTAGTTTTATTAAAAGTTACGGTCTTGAACTTCACTGTTGAAAAGAAAACTAATTTTTCTGCTTCAAGAAGTCCCTTTGTAGACATTGTTCAACGTTAGAAGTATTTTGCTGTTAAACTTTTCTGCGATTTTTAGCAGCTGGAAAATATTGGACATTTGATTGATCTCCGAGAGTTATATATTGGGAAAAATAAAATTCGGAAGTTAGAAAATCTGGAGAATTTGAAGAAGCTTACTGTGCTGAGTGTTCCTGTGAGTGCTGATTTCTAATTTTTTCTCAGTTCCAAATTTCATCACATGTAATTTATTAATTGCTTGTTATTTTTTTCTGGAAACTTGGTATTAGGATAGTTAAATTTTGCAAACTTGAAATACCATACCTTGCTGGCAGGTATGATGCGCTGCTGTGCGACTCAGCAGTGGGGCAGCGAGAGCTTTTAAAATTCTTCCATCGGTTTCGTGGAATCCAAGTCTCATCTTTGGTTACAAGCAATACGTGAATGAGGAGAAAATCTAAAATCGCACCAGCGAGAGACTGTTCTTGTTACTTGTTGCTAGACAAGCCATTTCGTAACACCCCGTCTTTCAAAGAGAATCAAGATGGTTTTAATTTTTGGCTTTCGTTGTTATTTTTGCCGCACTTTATGCTAAAATTATTGCAATCTGATCTGATTAAGGGAAATCGTATAACTGAACTGAGCGGGATTTCGCAGCTCACTGAGCTCTC